TAAAATCGACTGCTTTATGACAAATGGATGTCACTCATTATGAACCTTTTGGAAATTTAAAATATATTCATGTAGTCATTAACATCTTTCAGGCTGTGTAATGGCCACAGGTTCCACAGGAGAAATCAAAAAAAAAAGTAATCTCCCCTCTCTTTAAATGTTTTGAAATCATGGGTGTTCCCATGTCTATTAAACCTGACAATGGGGGACTGGGGTTATGGCTCAGTGGTAGAGCACTTGCCTCACATGTGCAAGGCCCTGGGTTTGATCCTCAGCACCACATAAAAATAAATAAAATAAAATAAAAAGTTATTAAAAATTAAGAAAAACTGACAATGGGCCAGCCTGTACTAGCAAGACACTTCAGGCAGTCTGCAATGATTGGCATATGCAGCACTTAACTGGGATCCCATATAACCCTCAGGCTCAAGGAGTCATAGAAATAACACACAGGAATTAAAGACAAAAACAGAAGGGGAAAACTATACCAACCTTATTTACTTTAAGTTTTCTTTCAATTTTAAAATTTTCCATGGAAACAGCAGCCCATAAACATTGAGCCCCCTTCATGGGTCCTCCCATCTATCAATGGTCGCATGGAAGGATCCCATAACAAATGCATAGAATGGTTCCGGGCCCCCCTCTAACAATGGGTTGAGGGTTTGCATATGTTAACAGGAGCCTCACCCCATCTGGGTGCCTGTGAGGAAACTCAGGCCCTTGAACCCCAAAATCACCAACCAAGAAGATGAAGAAAGTAACTCTGGAGAGAAAAAAAAAAAAAACAAACAAGCAAAGGACTCAACAACACAAACAGACCTCATGTAAAGAAACTTGGGTTGATATTAAAGGTATTGTTGGCCAAGCCACCAGATTGGCCCCTTTGCCTGGTGGCAACCTCATCCCTGGGCCTATGATGATGTTCCTATTGTGTGTGATGCTCACTGTTAACAGTGAAGCCTCCCATCAGGTAAATTGAGCTTTGGTCACTAGGCCACCATTTTTAGGAGTGGCCAATTGGGAAGGAGCCCTACCTAAACTTTTTTCCAATAACTCGAAACATATTTATCCTGAATTAGCTATACAAGTAACAATCATACAGTGGAATACCAGCATTCTCTTGCCTACTCTGTCAATTTGTTTCTCTATAGTTGATAATGAGACCTCCAATCAGGACAGTTCCCTTTGCTTTACTCTTGCCAATGAAACTATTTTAGATAAATATAGCAAGTCATATGTTGGACTGTCTCTCACTGATCTTAGAGTTATACTTAATGCTACCAATAGCCATAGACCCCCTCACATCAAATGCAAGAAACCCTTGCCTCCAACATGCCCAACAATGCTTTTTGGAAAGCCCACTCAGATAGTGATAGCATCCTGAGGAATCAATGTGTCACTGCCATACCATATCTCCTTGATAAGAGAAATTTCTCCAGGGAAGAACAACACCTATGCAGCTGGGTGGGTGCAGCTCCCTGAAATGTAACTGATGTGCCCCCAAACCATATGGGCTACTGCAGTAACTGCTACATGGGACAAGCTGTTACCAACTGTTATACAGGAAATCAAAATGGTGTGATGGATATCATACCAATATTGCTGGCCACCAGACCCATCAAATGAGCTGAAGCTGGCTGGATGAATGGGTTGATGTTATAAGGCCCTAACTATGGATTTACCTTAGTCCCAAATTATACCCATATGCACTATACACAAGCTTGTGTTATGCCACCCTTTGCCATGCTAATAATCAATGCTACTGATGACGTAAATATCACTCAGAGATCCCTTGTGCAGTCAATACATCCTGCTGGCTCACAAATTGTCTAACCCCTGCTATGAAAGCTAAATGTACATTTATCCTCAGAGTACCCCCAGCAATCTGGCTTCCAGAGAGTGAAGGAGTCGATGGAACATGGAGAATCTCCTGAATGAGATCCTGCACCAGACAAGGTGTGTAATTAGCCTCATCATTGTCATATTATTGCCCTGGTATCCACCATTGCTGCCACAGCCACTGCCACTGCTTCACTCACTCAGAGTATCCAGACTGCTCAGACTGAAAACAATTTGTCTACTGCCCTGGAAGAAGCCTTTGCCGTTCAAAATGACTTAAATAAACTGTCCCAAATCACTACTTTAGTCATTCAGCAAGAACTAGACCCCCATCAGGATCAACTAGATATACTGTTTATGTTGCAAAGGCTCACTTGTGACCCTGAATTTCAAAGTATTTGCTGTATCTCAAGATATAAACTTACACTTTTCCAACTTTTCCCCAGAATAGTAAGGGTACTTGAGATATTAACTATGATTATGCATAACCTTACTAAGGCAATTGTCAGACTCAATGAGACTAGAGTAAATATCACTCATACAGAGATCCCTTGTACAGTCTTGTCTTTATGGCCTCTTTCTTACAGGGATTAACTGAACATTGGAAAAATCTGATAGCCAATAGTAATATTTTTTTCTTGTGCTGTGAGATGCTTATGCAACCATGTGAAGGACACCAAATGAAAAACAGCAATGCTACCTGAAGTCTTTGTGGCACAGTCAGAGGAGGAAAATGCGGGGGCAGATGCATGGAGTATTGCATACGTGGCATAGTGACATACATTAAGTGCGCCTGAGTGGCAAAACACTCCCTGTGCTAGGCGCATGAGCAGCAAACTGCTCACCTCATAGGCACAGCCCTGGGAGTGGGACTACATGTTGCAGTCACAGCACTTGTTCCACAGCTCACTCCTCGATTGGTTGCCACAAGGACAGTTAGCTGAAATTGCACTGGGGGCTGCCTATAATCTGCTTACCTACTGCCTGAGTATATATACAAGGTAATCTGCACAATAAAATAAGACCTGCTTCCACATTGGTCTCCAGAGGTCTTGATTCATGAATCTCCACCACACTCTCCTCTACCCTGTTCTGTGGACCTCCTCGCTGGATGAGAGACAGACCACTGTTTGAAGCCTCCACCATGTCTCAGTTATTAGCAGTCACGTTCCACCTTTGGGAAATGTGGTTCCTTTGACCAGAGAGCTGCAAAGGAAAGGGGCCCCTGCTTTTCATGTAAGAAATGAGGAAATACACTTTTTTAACCAATATTACTCCATAAACACAAAGTACCATAGAAATACTGCCCTGAATGACGGTAGGGATCACCAACAAGGCAGGGTCCAAAAAGAGACCACTGTTGCCCACCTAATGTGGGAAACAGTTGTCAGACAGCAATAAAAGGAAAATAGCCAGGTGTGGTGGCACACACCTCTAATCCCAGGGGCTTGGGAAGCTGAAGCAGGAGGATTGTGGGTTCAAAGCCAGTCTCAACAAAAGTGAGGCACTAAGCAACTCAGCTAAACCCTGTCTCTAAATAAAATACAAAATGGGGCTGTAGATGTGGTTCAGTGGTCAGGTGCCCCTGAGTTTAATCCCAGGACCCAATAAATAAATAAAATTAAAGGAAGGGGAAGGAAAATAGGGTCCCAAGAGTTTAAAGTTGCCTGTCAACAGATCTCTGCAAAGCCTTGACTCTAGAACTTAAATACATTAAAAATAAGATTATTTTTGCAACAGAATCTGACTTAGTAACAGGCTCTACATCTCTTTCCTCCTTTGATGTGACATATTGGGAGAGTTTTAACACCATTATAATGCACATTATGTTTACATATGCTTTGCATAAGTTTGTACCATCTAACAATAGGCCCAGACTGACGTAAGAGAAAAAGACTATAAGTGCCTGTAGGTCACCTGCTTCTTTCTGGATAACTACTACACAATATGTGATAGAATATAAGCATCCACCTCTAATGGGAATATTAGTTATCTAACTAGGTAATAAGCCACTCCAAAACTCATTAGATCATGGCTGGGCTGGTTGTCGATTCTGGATTGACTTAACTGGGTTTTTCTGGTGCAGGAGGTTAGCAGATGGCTGCTGAGCATCAGAGGGTGAGCTACCATCATGACACAGGACACTGACTCTTCTCCATATCTCCTCCTCCAGTAGGTTAGTGGGGCTTGTTAACATGGAGAAGATAGGGTTTGAGGAGAAAAAAAAAACGAAGAAATCAAGACCTTTAGAAACTAGGTACTGGGCTACACAATTTCATAGTTAATAGATTTCTATGAGCCATAGCAATTTTATTTCAGTTCCAAGGACAAAGAGAAAACCACATTACCAAATTCATAGGTATAGAAAAGGATGATGAATAGCTGATATTTTGGCACTCAGTATCATTCTGCCTTTTCTTACACATAAGTCTCCTACAACAGTTTGAAGGAAAAGAAAATGTTCAAAGGCACACAACTATTCATCACATGGAATACAGGACTAACTCTGCATGTCTTCAAAGTCCAAAGAGCACCACTAGACCACGTGATTCATGCAACCATTAAAATTCTCTTAGTTCTTGGAAAAAAAAATTAAAAATAGGATTTTGTGGGCTGGGTTAGGGCTAAGCTGTACAGCACTTGCTTAGCACATGTGAATCACTGGGTTCAATTCTCAGCACCACATAAAAATAATAAATAAAATAAAGATCCATCTACAACAATAAAAAATTTTAAAAAAACTAAAACAGGATTTGTGTCCATAGTGTATTCTTTAACAATGGGAATAATATCCTCAAAAGAATGATTCTGAGGCTTCTAAGACACACTTGGAATAAATTTGGAAAATGGATGAAACTGAATTCAGGAAATCAAAGATCAGCAATACATTTTTAATTTCTAATCAGAGGAGTAATGTGAAAAAGAGCATAAGTTTTATTCATTTCATATCATCCTATTAAAACTAGGCACATTTGCTTGGAATGAAAGCACTTTGGTTTTTATACATATCATGTGAGGTGAGGTGGCACAAACCTGTAATCCCAGCAGTTTGGGAGGCTAATAAAGGCAGATTTTGATATCAAAGCCAGCCTCAGCAAAAAATGAGGCAATAAGAAACTCAGTGAGGACTGGGGATGTGGCTCAAGCGGTAGCACGCTCACCTGGCATGCGTGCGGCCCGGGTTCAATCCTCAGCACCACATACAAACAAAGATGTTGTGTCCGCTGAAAACTGAAAAATAAATATTAAAAAATTCTCTCTCTCTCTCTCTCTCTCTCTCTCTCTCTCTCTCTCTCTTTAAATAAAAGAGACTCAGTGAGACAGTGTCTCTAAATAAAATAGAATGTAAGGCTGAATATGGGGCTCAGTGTTGAATTCAATCCCCAGTACCCCCTTAAAACTAAACCCTGAATACCAACCCTCAACCTAACCCTAAACCCAACCCTAAACCTAAACCCCTAACCCCCAACCCCAACCCCAACCTTAACCCCTAACCCTGACCCAGACCCTGACCCTAACCCTAACCCTAAACCCTAAACTCTAAACCTAACCCTAACCTGACCCATAACTGTACCCCTAACCCCTAACCCCTTACCCTAACCCTCTCCCTAACCCCGTCCCTAAACCTAGCCCTATCACTAACCTACTAACCCACTAACTTAATCACTTTACCTTAACCCTATATTTTTACCTCAGTACTCACCAAAACTGTAAACTTATCCCTCATCCTAGACCTAAATCTTTCCCCTAACTCTAACCTATCCCCTGAGTCTCAATATAAAGACCAACCCTAAATGCTACCCGGACATCTAACCACTAAACTCTAATGTTAAATTTTACCCATAAACCATAAGCCACAATCCTACCTCTGTAATCCTCTCCTGAAGCTTGCTGCAAACAGACATCCAACACCAATTCCAACTCCAATCCTATTTTAACCTTATTCACACTAACCCTTATCACATTCCTTAACCCTCATTTTCTATCTTCAATTTTTTTACCATTTTTTACTGCAACTATTTTTTCTTTTGTACTTAAATTTAAACCTTAATTCCTACCACCAAACCCAGAGCACTTCATAAACCATATTACTTTTGTCTAATCATGTTTCTAACGCTCCTTAGATCTTTCATCTTCCCCAAGATTCTAACTCTAATCTTATCTCCTATCAGTAACCCTAACATAACCCTACCCTATTTCTATTCCTTTGTCCTTCCAACCCTTTCCCTAAGCAGTTCCAAACCCCTTCCATATCTGTAACCCCTAACCCAAGCCCTATCCTCAACCCTATACAAAGTTCCAACATATCAGTACTTACCTGTAGATGAAAGCAGCTGTCACAGTTGAAGTAACAGGTTTCCAAATGATCCTCAACTTTGTTCAACTTGGACACAAATGTGAGATTTAAAGGTCCCTTCTTTTTTCTGAAGTGGCTCACAGGAGTCAGAAAGCAGTATACTCAGTACTGCCAATTCACCACAAAGCCTATCTTTCAAACATATCTTAAATAATAAACTTGAACAGGCAGGTGACAAAAATCAGGGAAAAGAAGTCATAAAGGGCATGTTACTTCATCCCTCTCCAGGTACCACATCCCAAACCTTCAGCAACATCGAGGGTCCTTAACCCCTGTCCTTTTGCTTTTCATTCAAAGATTCATTAAATAATTGCTCATGGTAATCAACTGAAACTTCAGACCCTCAGTCCTCCCCAAACTTGTGGAAGGGCTCAAGTTCCAATGAGCTAATCACAGAGCTGGTTCCACTGCACCCAGCCATTCAGGGCCACCCAGGAAATATAGACCATGGATCACCTCCCTGGCTACAAACAGACATAGATTGAAGGATCAGGAGATTAGTGCCAGGAAACTGGATCAAAGACCAAACTTTTTTATCAGAGATTAAGCCAAGGGGCACTTAACCACTGAGCTCCATCCCCATACCTTTATTTATTTATTTATCCAACTATCTTATTTTTAGATAAGGTCTTCCTAAGTTGCTTAGGGTATCAATAAGTTGTTCAGGATGGCTTTGAATTTGTATTCCCCCTGCTTTATCCTCCCCAAGGCACTAGGATTATAGGCAGCCAACACTGTGCCTTGACCATATTTCTTATGACTCACCAATACATAAAGAAATAAAAAGTGTATATATATATATATATATATATATATATATATATATACACACACACACACTTTTCAACTTGAAAATGAACTTGAATACACACTGCACTAGCAAACATGAAAAGATGCTTCACATCTCATTCATTATGGACATGTAAGTTACAGTCACAGTGAAATTTCCTCACTCCTACTAATATAACCATTATCAAAATAATTTAAAATAGCAAGCATTGGTAAGAATGAAGACAAATGTGTGACCTGTGTGTGAAAAAATTGCAGTTTTACCTAAAAGTTAAAATTAGAATTATTAGAATTATCAAAGTACTTAAGTCTGTTCCTAGGTTTTTACCCCAAAGAACTGAAAGAAGGTATTCAAAGAAACATGTGTATGTGCTCTTTCCATCTGTTTAAGTCATGAAAATAAGGGACAGGCTCAGAAAGAGTTCCAGGAAGAGAAATCTGGATCTGAGTAAAAAATCCTAATAGCTATGGTGTTTCATCCTTCATTAAAAAACAAAAACAAAGAAACAAACAAAAATCCTGCTCTTTTAATTGAGCACAGCAGTCCTCTGAGTCTTCTCTCATAGAACACCAGTTAGGTGGATCTCCATATACAGCACAGCAGTCCTGTATGTTCCTATCTCTCCACATGGACATGTGCAACTCCGCAATTGTTCACATTTTAGATATCAAGTTTCTTGGATCTGCCAGTAGACATGATGGGCCTAAAGAATCCTTCCATCATAAAACTCCAGTTTTCTGGATATCTACATAGAATTCAACAGTTTTTGCACATCTATCCATCAATAGAACCCCAGTTACCTGTCTGTACAAGTGGTGCCCAGGAGCCCTGAGTTTCCTGCCTGGCTTTGAACATGGACAAAAGCAGCCCTGGCATCATGGGTCTCCAAATAGATTTCAGCAGCCATGGTCATTCTGAGACCATGAGCATTACAGACCGCTAGCAATGGAAATTCTGGACAGTATAATTTCCTTACTGCATAGAATCCCATGCTCCTCTTCCTGATGTACAGCCCATCAGTACTGTGTGTCCTCCCATCATAGAAACCAAGATGCCTGGCTTTTCTACAGCAGTCATACTGTCATCACAAAAGTCCACTTTCCTGGCACTCCAGGGAGAGCCCAGCAGCACTGGGAGTTCCTCCATCATTGACACCTATGTCCCTCTCTCCATATAAAGTCAGCATCCCTATGAGTCCTACTATTATAGAACCTCATTCTCTGTTGTTTCACAAGTGTCTACTAGCCTAGTATATCTAGTCACAATAGGCTCTAGATCCCTGATGTTTGCACGGAGCTAAGCAGCACTGCATATATCATACCATAGAAACCCAGACAGAAATCCTGCCACTCCAGATAGAGTCAAGTAACCCTGGAAGTCCTTCCATTATAGAAAGAAAGGTCACTGAATTTCACAGGGGCCCAGAAGCACTGTCACTATAGAAACCTAGTTTCCTGGATCACCACATGGAACCCAGCAAACTTGGGTGTTGTGTCATCATATGTCCCCAATACAACATTCTACAAGAACAATTTTCTGAAAATCCTGAGCAGTGAAAATAGGTTTCTTATTTTCAATTTTAAAGTTACTTTGGTAGTTACTCAAAATTTTAACCAGAAAGAAAAAAACAAGAAGATTGGGAGCCTAGGCTCCCTGAGCATCAGGCACAGTGTCCCAGTGCCTGGAGATGCAGGTCCCTAAGCTAATCTCAGAAATGTGCACAAAGACATGACTTCTGTCTTTCCTCAATCAAATATCAGGAGTTTAAGTTCCACCAAGAACAACTCTGGTTTTGTAGAATAGGACAAGCTCCAAGGTGTTTTCAGCCACCAAAAGTTCCTCCAGCTAATACAGCCTTGAACCCTAAGAGGCAGGCTCCAGGGCAGCACAGACCCCTCTGCGTTAAGGATGGGACCTCCGCCAGTGCGCTCAGTGGGAGCTGTAGCTCTCCACCTGACCTTCATCTTGGGACAGCTGCACCCAATCAGGGCTCAGAAGCTGCCCAAGGAGCAGCAGCAGCAGCAGCCCGCCACCCCCACCCCACCCCCGTCTCCCAGCCACGCGGTCCCGCGAATCCCCTGACCTGCCTGCCGCACCCGCCCACTCTCCAACACCGCCTTGAATTGGGAGCCCTTGCTCACTGGGCAGTGGCGTTCAGGACAGACAGCAGACGGACCGCAGCATCCAGGTGGGCTAATGGTGTGCATGGGAAGAGCAGCGAAGAGCGAGGGAAGTGCTGTGTGTGCGCCTGCATCCGCACCAGCCGCCCGCCATTGTGCACGCACCTTCTGTCTGGCCCCCTGAGCCTCAAGGGCCAGGTCTCTTTCCAGGTCCGCAGCCCCAGTTGGGGTTCCCAGGTGAGCGCCCAGGGCCTCTGTTGCTCGCCCAAGTGGACTCCCAGGAAAGCTAAAGCCGAGGCTGCCTGGCGTCCCTGCAGCAGGAGGGTCTATAGGAAGGAACCCACTTGGACCTTGGGGTCAGCTCGTTTGGGGTGGTGCTGCTCCTTGCAGACTGCAGACGGGGTGCAGACCTCGCCTACACACCCTCCTGTGAGCCCAAGCAGAAACACACTAGAAACCACTCCATAGAACCTAATAAAAGCCCAAGGTGTTGATTGTTGAGCCTCCATGAAGAGCCATGCAGTCCTTGGAGTCAGCCTTAATTTAAACCCTGTTACCTGGATTTCAAAATTTAGTCCAGCAGCCTTCAAATACCTAAATATCATAAAACCTTATTTCCCTGACTCTCAAAGTAGAATCTGGCAGTCTTGCATGTCCTACCATCCTATAATGCCAGTTACATGTCTCTATATGTAAACCCAGCAACAATAATCACCTTGCCAACAAATGAGACTCAGATCCCTGGCTGGCCACAAAGAGTTTAGAAGCCCTGAGGTTTCTACCATCACACAAAAAAACCAATTTTCTGTCTCTGCACATACAGCTGAGCATCAATGTGTGTTCTGAAATCAGAGGAACCTAGTTCCCTGGTTTTGAACATACAGTGAATCAGTTATTTGATTTCTACTGCTGAGAGCCATAGCTAAGTAGGAACCACACATGGCAATTTCCTTGTCAGCCTACCCCATGTTGCTTAGAGGAAGGACTCTCCATTGTGGACCCAGGTCATTTGCAATAACTTTGCATGAAAGGTGACCTTGCTCAAGGACCAGGGCGGATCGGGGTTTAGGGTGGATCAGGGTTTAGGGCGGTTCCAGGTTTAAGGTGATTCCTGCTGGGAATAGGGCGTATCCTGCTGCCTCCAGCGCCTTGAGTTCCCGTTGAGTTCTCGTGGGATTCAGAGAGTATTTGGGATTCAGAGCCCGGTGGAGAGTGTGGATTTTGCCCAGAACGTGTGTGTAGAGTGCGGGTGACAGTTCGGGAATAAAGAATTGCTGTTTGAATCTACAAGGCTGTGAGTGGCTCGTGATTTTGTGCCCAGCCAGACTGCGGCATTTGGTGGCCTGTACGCGGAACGTCTGAAACTTGGAGGTAAGTGAAATTGCTCGCCCCTGAGGGAAGGCAAGAGAATGGGTGACCATCTCAAAAAACAATGTGTTCTTGTTTTGATTTATTTTGTTTTTGTTTCAAGCTGACTATCCCTAGAAATTTCTCAGGCAAACTGGGAAAAATGGTTGGCTAAAGGTTTGAAGTTTGTTGGCCCTGAGGAAGAGAAAATTGATACAACGATTTTTTTATTCCGTTTTTGTTTCATTCAGTTTCAGTTTTGTTTTGTGTTATCTTATTGGGTTGTGTTATCTTTATAGTAGATTAGAAATTAGTAAAAAAAACAAACCGAAAAAGTGTTAAGTAAATTGTTAGAGGTTCAGACCATGGAGAAAGACATTTTAGATCAAGCAAAAGAGAAGGTCTCTCTAGCTAGTCAGACAGAGGAAGAAAATTTAAAGGAAAAGGGGTTATTAGGAAAAAGGCTACAACAGGAGGCTGTTACTAACTCTGTTTTATCACCAGAGGGCGTAATTCAACCAACAGCCCCACCTATGGAGACAGCTGAGTGGCCCTCAAACCCCGTAGTTGATAAATGGGATCCTGAGACAGGACCTCAAAGATTAGAATGCCCTGTACTTGAACAGGTAGGAGGGCAGTGAATTCACCATGCTTTAGATTTTAAAACAGTGAAGCAGTTAAAGGAGGCTGTAACAACCTATGGTCCCCAAGCACCCTTCACGGTAAGCATGGTCGAGTCCATTACTAACTTGGACATGATGCCAGCAGATTGGGCTAGCATGTGTAAATCTGTGCTAAATGGAGGACAATATTTGTTATGGAAGGTTGCCAATGAGAAATTTTGCACGGAGACAGCTAGGCGAAATGCAGCAGCCGGTGACCCTCAAAGAAATCTAGATAT